TGTAGGCTAGTAAATCCTCTGAGGCAATTCTACTGGGTCATATGGCATCATTGTGAATCGAAAACTGATTCTGCAGCTCCTAACAGCAGCAGCCAGGCAAGAGTACCCAAACCAAACTCACTGCCATGGAGTTCATTATGATGCATGGCCACCTTGGAGGGCAGCGTAGATCTTCACATGTGGATTTCTGAGACTAACTCTTTAGGGGAGTAGAAAGCCATCCTTCTCCCAGTAATGCTGGTGATTTTGAACTGCTGTCCTGGTAGTTAGCAGTCCAACCACTACACCACTAGGGCTCCTTTCCAGAACTACAGGTTATAAAATTGTGTCAATGGAAATGCTGAAGAAGAGCTGCCTTCTCAAAGTCGAGTCAACTATATGATGATGTTGATGAAATAAAGCTTTCAGGATCTTCGGTTATTGATGGGGCATGACTCTCTAATAATCTAAATATGAAACGTGAAGTATGAATCTAGGAAAATTAGGGATCATGAAAAATGAAATGGAATGCACAATTATTCATATCCGATCTCTTAGTGAAGGTGGTGTGGTTATATGTCGGGCTGCTAACCAACCACAAGGTCAGCAGTTCACTAGCTGCCCCATGGGAAAGAGATGAGGCTTTCTGCAGTCTCTGAGGCAGTTCTGGAGAGTTGCTATGAGCCAGCTTGACCGCAGTGAGTTTGGAGTTTGGGGTTATTAGTCAGCTGAAATCGACTGTATTGGCCATCTTGAATCAGACAGTTGTACGGTTGACTCTGCCAGAATCACAATTCAATGGCATCGCATTCATCATCAAAAAGAACATTTTCAATACAACTATGTTCAAATTTATTCAGTACTAAAGCAAGTGATGAAGAAATTGAAGTATTCTTCTAGCTTCTTGTCTAAAATTCATCAAACATGCAATTAAGACACATTGGCAATTATTGGCAATTGGTTTACAAAAGGAAGGAACAGTCATTGGAAAATAGGTCCTGGCCATAGAAACGAAGCTAGGGATTGCATGATAGAATTTTGCAAGATCAATGGCTTTTTCATTGCAAATACCTTTTGCAACAACATAAACAGCAGCTATCTACCTGGGCCTTGCCAGATGGAATTTACACAGAAATCAAATTGAGTACATCTGTGAAGAGAGACAATGGAGAGGCTCAGTATTAGCAGCCAAAACAAGGCCAGGGGCTGACTGTGAAACCAGCCATCAGTTGCTCATACGCAAATTCAGGTTAAGGTTGAAAAGTTTTAAAAGAAGTCCACCAGAGTCAAAATGCAACCTTGAGTATATCTGACTAAAATTCTGAGACTATCTCAAGACAGATTGCATTTAACACTAATGACAGAAGACCAGAGAAGCTGTGGAATAACATGAAAAATGGTCATTAAAAAGAGAAGGAAGGAAAGTATCAAAGTGGATGATAAAAAACTAAGAAATGTTCATGCTCTTGAACATAAGAGTAGCTAAAATAAATGGAAGAAATTATGAAGTCAAAGAGCTGATCAGAAAATTTCAAAGGACAGTTCAAGGAGACCTATATTCAAGGCCACAAATATAATGAACTATGCAAAGCCCTGGAGGTAGAAAGCAAAATAAGAAGAACATGCTCAGCAAATATCAAGTCAAAAGAACTGAAGAAAAAATAAAAGCCTCAACTTGCAGTATTAAAGGATTCTGTGGGCAGGACATTGAACAATGCTTGTGGAAGCAGCAGTCAGGAAATCACAAAACATATCGGGCAAAGGTGCTGCTCACGGCCTCTAAGTGTTGAAGACAGAGGTGTCACCTTGAGAAAGCTAAGGTGCACCAAACCCAAGCTTTGATCTGTTAGATTGCTTCCTACGCATGGGAAAGTTGGACAGTAAATAGGACTGCAGAATAATTGGTGCATTTGAATCACGTTGTTGATGAAGAATATTGAAACTACTGGAGACTGCCAGAACAAACAAATCTGTGATGGGAAAATTCCAGCCAGAATTCCAGAAAATTCCAGCTCCTTGAACCTGAGGATAGGAGAATAATCTCACATACTTTGGACATATTATCAGGAAAGACTACTCCCTGGAAAAGGATATCATTTTTGTAAAATGCGGGGTAGGCTAATAGGGGAAGACCCTCACCAAGATGGGTTGACACTGGCTGCCACAGTGGGCTCCGTAATAGCAGTTGTGAGGATAGTGCAGGGACAGGCAGTGTTTCATTCTGCTGCATATAAGGGCTTCAGGAGTCGGAACCAACCTGACAGCACCTAGCATCATCAAACATAATGGGAAAGGCTGAAAGCTTTCCCCTCAGTTTAAGAGCGAGACAGCAATGCCTACTGACGTGTGCTATTCAGTTTTGTACTAGACCCCCTAACAGAGCAATTAGGCAAGAAAATTAAAAGGTTTCCAAATTGGGAGAAAATAAACATCAGTATGTATGATTCTATGCATTGAAAACTCCAGAGAACCCATAGAAAGCTACTAGAGATAATCAATGCATTTAGCAAAGTGGAAGGATGCAAAGTTAACATGAAAGTTGGTTTTCATTAATCAGTAGTGAACGTTCTGAATAGGAAATGAAGGAAGCAATCCCATATACACTAGGATATAAAAGGAATATGTTTTACCTAAGAAGTGAAAGACAGGTACTCTGAAAACTTTATCAATCATTTCTGAATAAAGAGTTCATGGATAAGAAAATCTATTGTTAAGGAATCAGTGTTGGTACAGATAAAAAATGGAAACACAGAACCCAGGACAGTAAAAGTAAGAAGTCCACACTTCCTGATCTTATAACATACTATAGAGCTGTAGGAATCAACACAGGCTAGCACCGGTGTAATTATAGACATTTTGACAAATAGAAAAGAACTAAGAACCCAGACCAAAAAATCCACAGGTGTAACCTTCAAAGCGGTGGTAAGTCCATGAGGGGGAAATAATAAATGGTGCCAGGACATGCTGGACCTAGGTCTCCCCATGTCTGCTAACCAACCCCAGTAGATCACACAATCTAAGAACGAGAACCATAAATCTCTTGGACAAAATCATAGGGTTAAATATATTTTGGGACTTCATGTTTAAAAATGGCTTCTTAGACCTGATGCCAAAAGCATGAGGAACAAAAAGCATGTTGATAAATGAAACTTCATTAAAATTTTAAAATTTTGTTTTTCAAGAGATTTTATCAAGAAAGTAAAGAGATTACTGACATTTTGAGGGGAAAAAAACCTTGGGGAACTAAGGGGTCTTCAAAGAGTTTATGGGACAATGAAGTGAAAAGATCATGAAAGTTTCCCATGAACTTTGAAACCCATTATGGGATAAAGGTTAGGCATCTAGTGGCATACATAAAGAACTCCTACAAGTAAGCACCGTAGTCAAACAATCCAAACACAAAATGGGCAAAGAACTTGCAAAGGAATTTTATTGAAATGGTGAGTAGCAGCAAAGCCCATAAGGAAGAAGCACACCAGCCTGTGTGATCATGAGGTGTCGACGGGAATAGGTATTGGAAGTTCAAAAGCAATCAATCAAATTGGCATGCAGAAGCAAGCGTAGATAAAGTGGAGACCCAAAACCCACCTGTAAGAGAACTGGACAGTCCCTCACAGGAAGGTCATATGGGAGGGAAGATATCCCTAGGGTGCAGTATACCACTGATGATACACATAACTATCCTCTAGTTCTTTAATATTTCCTCCCCTTACTATTATGGTCCCAGATTTACTTCATTAAGCTTGTTAGATCTGCTAATATTCATTTGTGTAATGAAGTCCCTTCGATGCATGAAATCCAAGATAGATAAACCCATTAGAAATAGTATGGGAACAACGATTCCCTGGGGGCATGGGAAGAGGCGGGTGGAAAGGGGGAGCCAATAGCAAAATGACTGTGTAACCCCACTGAGGGGAACAAATAACAATTGTAGAGGAACAGATACAATGGACGGTGTAAGATATGGCAAACAATAATAACTATTTATAAGAATAGGGTTCCTGGGGGGTAGGGGAGGAGGGAATAAAGGGGAGCTGATAAAGAGTTCAGCCATCCGACTGATGAGTTTGAAAAATGTCTCCAAGAATGGAATCGCAGATTTGACCATTGTATTGTGTAATGCAGAGTACTTTGAAGGTGACAAGATTGTTTTGTAAAAAAGTTTACTGTATATACTCATGTATAAGCCAAGTTTTTCAGCACATTTTTTTGCAGTTTTTGTGGTAAAATTAGGTGCCTTGACTGATAATTCGGGTTGGCATACTCAAGTATATAGGGTACATCGCTTTTGGGGGGTGAGGGGGAATAGTTACAGTCTGGGAAACCCGAGGTAGTTCTGCCCTGCCCTGCAGTGAGTTTGGCTGTTTTCAGTATTCCGTTGTATGGTGCATGTACCCATTTGTTTACCCATTCCTCTCTAAATGGGCATTCCATCTTTTTGCTTTTGTGAATAGTGCTGTGATGAACATGGATTCACTGAAACCCTTTTAATAAAAACGTGATTTTTAAAGTTTTTAGAGTTATAGATGTTTTAGTTGCCATGAAAAAAATCATTCATTCAATATGCTTGTGTTATGCATGGTTACAAGAGCTTTGTAACAGATAATGGATTTTAAGCCCCACTAGTGGATATCTTTTAGTTCTGTATAAAAATTATGGTGTGTTTTACTTTAAACTGTCATGGAATATTTTACAGTATTGCCTTTTTAAATGGAAGTCTAATCTAGAATAAAAGTGACACATTCCATGCCTTCCCAACTGAGAATCAGTTAGGTTAGGTGCTGCAAGACCTGGTGAATGTTGGCATTATTTCAGATAGAAACTGAAATAAAGCTTTTTGTGTTTTTAGCTGCACTACCAGAGACTTCCTTTTGAATCTAAAATCTTCCAAGGAATGTTCTATAAATCATGCATTGTTCTTTGTTTCTTTCATGCATGTTTTATATAAATTATAAATTGCTTAAACCAAAGTTCCTATTTTCATCTCAAATTTGGGTTATTTTGTTGACATGATTTTTTAGATGCTATTAAGCTCCAGCTGGTTGAAGCAGGCCTGGTGGAAGGTCTACTAGACATTGTTCAGCAGAAGGTGGATAGTGACAAAGAAGATGATATTGCTGAACTCAAAACGGCTTCAGATCTAATGGTTTTGCTACTGCTTGGAGGTGAGTTGTAGTCTGCTAGCCAAGAACATGCTTTTCGGGTTTTGAAAAATGCCTATGTCTTAGCTGTAGACAGTATACCAGGCATCTTCTCGTTTTCCTCTCTCATTTAATCTTATTGATGTGATGATTTTGAAACTTAATCTTTGCAAACCTTCTCGTGGAAGAGAAAGCTATGACACCAAAGGACCGACCTAGAACTAAAGGAAACGCCTGGCAGGCACAACTTTTACACAGTGGAAGGAAAGCTCTCCGCTGAGTCGCAGAGAGAGATGGAAGGGGGTGGAGGGTAGCAACATGCAGAGAGAGGAGGCTCACTTGCTGTCATGTTGCAGCTAGGTGGCTGCATGTGAGAGCATCCACTGTGACTGAGCTAGGAAAAAATCTAATTTCTATTGTGTAGTCTTTACTAAAGTTTATTATGATTTTATAGCATATAGAGAAGTCTGTAATTTCCCAGTTGGATACTCATTAGAAGTTGGCATTTGACCTCCTAATTACTTTCCTCTTGTCTAACACTTGGTTCCATTTACTTTCAGACGAGTCCATGCAGAGATTGTTTGAAGGAGGGAAAGGCAACGTGTTTCACAAGGTGCTCTCCTGGGTTCCGTCCAATAACCACCAGCTACAGCTTGCTGGCGCATTAGCAATTGCAAATTTTGCCAGAAATGGTAAGTGTTACTTGCTCTTCCTTTTAAAATAAAAATTCTGTGTTGTTTGATTACTTTTTATTTGCTTTGACATCAAATGTACTACAACTAGAGCAATTCTGGGGTGTTCATGATACAAGAGGACTTTGAACAGTTCGTGAAAAATCTATTATTGAGAGTGGGTAGGAAAGAGGGAACCGATCACAAGGATCTATATGTGACCTCCTCCCTGGGGGACGGACAACAGAAAAGTGGGCGAAGGGAGACGTCGGACAGGGCAAGATATGACAAAATAATAATTTATAAATTATCATGGGCTCATGAGGGAGGGGTAGCGGGGAGGGAGGGGAAAAAATGAGGACCTGATGCCAGGGGCTTAAGTGGAGAGCAAATGTTTTGAGAATGATGAGGACAATGAATGTACAAATGTGCTTTACACAATTGATGTAGGTATGGGTTGTGATAGAGTTGTATGAGCCCCTAGTAAAACGATTAAAAAGAAAAAAATCTATTATTTTTATTTCCATTTTTCCATGAGCTTTGTGAAGACTCCGCATATATATAGTTCTCTTGGTTTTAATAATCTAAATATTCCTCCTAGGATGGTTGTACTTCTATACCTAGAAAGCTGAAGTGTAGTTAATCCTCTGATTTAGCGTAATATTATTTCATAGGCACCTGATTTTTTGTGTTTACTTCTGAAATCTGCTATTCCTGCTGCTCAGTCAAAAAAACCTCTCTGTGATCCTAGGAAAACTGAGTTATATGTATATCTAGGAAATGTGAGTTATTTTTATTTTATTCCAACCCAAACAATTGGGATAGCATTATACAGTGGATTTATTTATTATACTTTTACTCCCTCCTTTGGGGGAGGGGACTTTGTGGACTTCATGTTAGTTAAAAACACTGAGCTAGATAACACCCTGCAAGGCACGTTATAATATTCTCACTACTCTATAAATAATAAATTATTTCAGTGAAAAATAACAGCCATGGTAGCAAAATGCAGAGTGCTAGTGCTGATGTACAGGTTTCCCTGCTGGCTGAAAATGGGGTGTGCCCGTAAAATCTTTCATAAACTGATCTGGCGTAATGCAACAAAGCAGTTACACCAATAGAGGGAAAATATTTGCATGTCTACCAATCAAAAAAATAACCTTCTAAATTAAACCAAATGCCACATAAAACTTAAAGTCACAAACGTACAGTGTTGACCTCAAAGCTCTGGTGGAGCTGATGCGGAGTGTAGTTCTTGGAGAAGGAGCTTGGAGGTGCCACACGCGCTTCCTAGGATATGCACTGCCTCTTTAAGGGCTTGCTGCAAAACATGCTTACGCATCGTTCCACTGTATTCACGAAAGTGAAAATCCTCTTTGGATTTCTCTCCTTTAGCAAAACTGGGTACTAATATAGGTCCTTGATAAAAATCAAGTGGCTTAAAGCAAACCTTCACAAAGTGGAGGATACCTTTGCTAACATTGGCAGAACACAGGCAGGCTTCACTATTCGATGAAACTATCGAGGGGCGAGGTAAGCATTGTTTTCTGCTTACTCATCCATGACAGAGCATCAGGCTCTAAGCTAGGGAGTTCTGATTTTTTTAAAAATTTTATCTACTCTAACAATGCTTATGAGTGGACCTAGCACTCAATGAACAGAAATGGGGGAAAGCCATGACTTTACTTCCTCTTATGTAGATATTGGATAGGAGTCAGTAGTATAAAATATGTACAGACATTTTTTAAAATTAATTTATTGAGGCTCATACAATTCATCACAATACATAGATCAATTGTGTAAAGCATATCTATACATTTGTTGCCCTCATTATTCCCAAAATT